CTTGATCTCACAACTGGTTGAACGTCAGGGTCAGAATTGGTTCGTTTCGGTGCCCTTCTGGTCTCCGTTTTGGCGATTTCTCTGCAGTGCGCAAACTTACACAACAAGTTGTTTCTTCTAGAAGATAAGCTTTCGATTGTCCAAATGCGTCTATTTGCGCTTTCAAAAATCTTCTAAAAGGTCTTTAAAAATCAAATTAAGTTAAAGTCCTCCTCAAAATGTCGGGCGCAACTTCTCTATGGTAATTAGGGATAGAGTAGGTCAGTTTGCCGTTCTGCAGGTCCCGTCTGTTCGCATACACTCACATCCGGTCCTGCAGTTTGAAGAGTCCGAGTTTCTTCCTGTTGATTGTTACCCTTCTAGGATGTCGTCTTCCTGTCTCACAATACAAGAACTCATGGGCACTCCATGAAACTGCAGAGCGGTCGGGTTAGAACGGATAAAAGGAAGTACTTCTTCACCCAAAGAGTGATTAACACATGGAATTCACTGCCACAGGAAGTGGTGGCGGCTACAAGCATGGACGGCTTCAAAAGGGAATTAGATAAGCATATGGAGCAGAGGTCCATCAGTGGCTATTAGCCACAAGGTATAGATAGGGGCTCTGGGGCAAGTGATGCTCTGTCTTCTTGGTGCTTGGGGGGGTCAACAGTGGGAGGGCTTCAAAACGGGTTTTCGCATTGCTTCTTTTCACTCACTGTTGTTGCCCATCTTCAAGAGGTCGGCTGATGGAGAATTTAAACCGGTACACCGGCCCCTGATCCAACATTCTTATGTTCTTATGTAAATCTGGTATTTTGCTTGAGATATAGCCTGTAGATATATCTCCAACCAATACATGTCTCATACAGAAGGGCAGCCTAACACAGTAGTATTCCTGAAGTTGTGCATGCATCAAACGGAATGCTTTACATTCAGTTCAATGTATCCCCCCAATCACCTTTCTAAATTATTCCTACCCTGTCTCCTAGCTTCCTCTGCACAGACAGGTAGAAAAAACAGGTTGCTTACCTGTAACTGATGATCTTCGAGTGGTCATCTGTGCAGTACCACACATGGGTTGAGTGCCTGCGCACGACCTCAACCGGAGAACATTCCAGTGCTTGCCTCAGGAGTCTTTTGGCTCTCTTCCCGCCCTGGGGAGCAGGCACGTACTACGCATGCCTGGAGCGGGGGAAAGAGCCGCCTCCCACTCAGTTCCTTCGACCACTACCGGTAAGTCCCATGAAGCCAAAGAAAGGTGAACAGGAGATGCCAGCAGTGGGGAAGGTTGGGTGGGATTGTGGTACTGCACAGATAACCACTTGAAGATCATTAGTTACAGGTAAGCAACCTGTTTATCTTCGTCGTGATCTCTGTGCAGTCCCACACATGGGTGATTACCAGAGCTGAACCAGTTGGAGGAGGGAGCTGGCAGCTGAAAAAGGCACAAAGAATACTGGTTAAGACACAGCATCATCAGTGAGAAAAAATACCCACGGGTCCTACCTGGGGACGCAGCAGGGTCAAGCGAAGAGAGATCGCAGCACTGACTGGTCGAATGCAGCATCCTGTCAAGCTCAGACGTCGAGTGCATAGTGGGTCACGAAGGTTGATGCTGAGGATCACGTAGCAGCCGCACAGACGTCCTCCAACGAAACACCAGCCAGGAAAGCAGTGGATGTCAATATCGCCCATGTAGAATGGGCAGTGACACAGGTAGGGACAGGTTAACGTGCAAGCTCATAGCAAAGGACTATGGTGGAAGTCACCCATTTAGACAAGCGTTGAGAGGAAATTGGCTCCCCGACATGAGGGGGGCCATAGGCAAGGAACAGCCAAGAATATTTACGTATAGGCTGAGTCCTATGTAAATAAAAACAGAGTGCTCTGAGCACATCGAGGCAGTGGAGGGCTCTCTGAGGTGCATCAGTCGGATTCAGAAAGAAGGATCTGGTCTAAGGACAACCTTCTCCTTATGAAAAATTGTATAGGGGGGATCAGCCCGAAAGGCAGCTAGTTCCCCTACTCTGCGTGCCGTCGTAATCGCTATAAGGAAGGCCGTCTTCCAGGAGAGCAACCTGAGATCGACCGTAGCCATGGGCTCGAATGGCTTGGACATAAGTTGAGTGAGAACAAGTGACAGACTCCACGAAGGCACCAAGGGCTTCCTAAGGGGACAGAGCCAGAGGAGACCTTTAAGGAACGACCTTATAAGATGGTGGGAAAAGACTGTGGATCCCTGTATCAAGGGATGGTAGGTGGAGATGGCCGCTAAATGGACCTTTAAAGACGAGTATGCAAGGCCATTATTTTTTAAGGAGACGACGTAGGAAAAAATCTCACGGGGAGACGACTGGACGGGATCAAAGGAGTGATCAGAGGCATACAACTGGAACCTCTTCCACTTCAAATGGTAAGTGGTACGGGTAGAGGGTTTTCTGGCATTCAGGAGGACATCAGACACTTCAGGCGGGAAGTCTAGTGCAGGATCTTCCAGGATGTTAATTGGAAGAAACCCAGATCGGGGTGGAGGATCCTTCCTCGAGCCCAAGAGAGGAGATCAGGGGTGACAGGCAGCAGCTGGAATGTCCAGTTGGAGAGATGAAGGAGCTGCGGAAACCAGACTTGGTGCGGCCACCATGGAGTGACAAGGATGCATGACGTGGCATCGGCCACAATTTTCTGAATGACCCGGGAGATCAAGGGGAACAGAGGGAAGAAGTAGAATAGGGTTCCCTTCCACGTGTGGAGAAAGGCATCTCCCAGCGACTGAGCAGATGGAGGACTGCAGCTGAAAAAGAGGTGACACTGGGCATTGTCTGCAGTTGCAAAGCTGTCGACGACAGGGCGACCGAACTTGAGAAAGACAGGTTTCAGGTATCGAAGGTGGATGCACCATTCGTTGTCCGATGAGCGGGAGTGGCTCAATTGATCGGCATTGATGTTTTGAATGCCTGGAATGTGTATTGCGGAAAGCGTGATGGAATGGCGGATGCACCAGTGCCGGAGATCGATGGCTGACTGGCAAAGACGAAGGGAGGCAGTCCCACCCTGCTTGTTCATATAGTAAATGGTGGTGGTGTTGTCAGAGGCAATCCGAACGACTCGGCCTCGAAGCACCGGGAGGAAAGAGCAGAGAGCGAGATTAACCGCACACAGCTCCAGGACATTGATATGAAGGGTGGCCTCGCAACAAAAGCAGGTCCCCTGCACCGAAAGGATTCCACACTGGGCTCCCCAACCCCATAGGGATGCGTCGGTGGAGATCGACACTTGCAGAGGAGGATGCCGAAAGGACA